ATATATATATATATATATATGGGCTCTTAGAGGCAGCATGCATGCGGGTCCATTCTCATTAGATCTTAGCGTTGTGTAACATGTCTTCCATTAAACGCGTAATCTATCACGCGTTTAATCTCTTCGTTTAGCCTATTTAGTTTAATTAACTCGCGTGAATACCTGTACCTCTGGAATTCCGCATAAATAAAGTTACACCACAGCGTTTGTGGCTTATTGAGAACATATGTTTGTATTTATATTGTAGACAATATCTAATTTGCATGTGCATATTTATTAGCTTGTATGCATCTAGATATGTCAATATGTATACATATTCTGAACGCGTACGCCCCTAAGATAGATAATATATATATATATATATATATATATATATATATATAGTTGGAGGGTATTTCATTGAATGCCCGTGGGAGAGCGTGTGCGCTTTATGTATATTATTTGTATGTATTCACGCAGCAAATGAGTATATAATAAGTAATATGCCGATTATTCAAGTTACATATAGCATGCATATAATGTGTACAAGGTATAACATAGGCATTATTTACACTCTACAGCATACGACTATGTGTAATATACACAGGTGATGCATAGCTTATATACTGTTGTATGAACTATAATCTGTAAAGTCCAAATACTATAGTACAATGCATATATACCTAATTATATATTAATGCCTTTTTCAGGTCCTGCGTTGTTTGCGTCCTGACCGTTTGATAACGGCGATATCGGAGTACATTCGGACGATGCTGCCCAACGGCAATATGTATTTGGATGGCGACTCTGCCTTGTCTTTTTACGAAATTCTCGAGTCTTCATTTGAAGAGTCCACTGCCACCACTCCCATTTTCTTCATCTTGTCTCCAGGAGCAGACCCCGTCAAGGAAGTCGAGGCACTCGGAAGAAAACTAGGCTACACCCCGCATTTCAACCTACATAACGTGGCATTGGGACAGGTAATTATACACTGAAACATACAGGCACAATAAACATATTGAGCCTCTAGGCATGTATACATATACATATATATATATATATATGTACATATACATATATATATGTATATATATATATATATATCTATATATATTTATATATTTATATACACGTATGTACGCACTTGTATATATGTACATATGTGCATAGATGTATGCGGATAAAAAGCGTCTATCCAAAATAGTCTGCGTGTACATATTTGCAAATCTAAATAAGTATGTGCATGTGACGTATGTAGTATGTATATATGCACGCGTCTGTTCATACTATGCAATATTTGCATATGTATACACACGTGATTATGGATATATATATATATATAGATGTATATAGATATATATATATATACTATAAACGTAGATGCACATGCAGATATAGATATATTAGGGTAGATAGCTTTGTGTATATAAAGATTCGATAAAGTACATGGCGCAAACAAATAAGAGTGTCACCACTAGGTACGTCAAGCTGAGGCGGCAATGCCACGGGTTAGCTTCCGCTTGAAGGTTAGGACTTAGGGTTTATGGCTTAGGGATTTAGGGTTTTGAGGGCCTTTTCGCTGAATTTCCCGGGGGCAGGAAGTGTAAAATGCAAGGTAGATAGAAAGGGTGCTAGGGGAAATATATAAACAAGAGAAATATGTTGTTTATTAGCCCTAGTTTACCTTAGGGTAGGTAGCAACTGCCTCAAAAGGAATCCCAACAAGAGGAATGCATCTGTTGTTAATGATGGTTTAGTAGTTCTGGCGTGTTGAGGCAAGGCATGAATCTACGCTCTAAACCTTAAAACCTAAATGGTGAGTCGTTGTTTTGTGTTTGCCGATGCTAAGGGCCAAGATGTGGTGGCGATGCAAAAGCTGGACTTGGCTCACAAAGAAGGACATTGGGTATTATTGCAAAACATTCATTTGATGCCTCGTTGGACAGTGGAGTTGGAGAAAAAGCTGGATGCCTTCTCATCCGAAGGGCCTCATCCTAATTTCCGTTGTTTCCTTTCTTCCGAGCTGTGCGACTATATACCTGTGGGCATCTTGGACCGTTCTATCAAACTCACAAATGAACCCCCTCAAGGACTTCAGGCCAACTTAAAAAGAGCGTTTGCTTGCTTCCCTAAGGACGACTTTGATGAAAAAGACCAAAAGGTTAGAATAAACACACTCCTGCTGCTGCTGCGGCGTCGGCGCCTGCAGGTCATGCTGCTGCTGTTACCGCAGTTCTTGCTGCTACCGCACTTACTCCTGAGACCAAAACGAAAAGGAGACCTTTTGCTTTTCTTTTACGTAAATGGTGCCTGGATTTTCAAGTGTACGTGCACTGTGTCATTGATTTGCATAAATATGTGTACTGTGAGTTCAAAGAAAAGAGGCATGCGCCTTCATTGTACCGTATATTTGTTCAAACGCCGATGCGCACGACAGTAGGCACCTGGAGAGCAAAATATTATATATATATATATATATATGTATATATATATGCTTGTACAGTAAATACATATATGTATATGCTCTTGCACATTTTTATGTACAAATGTACATATACTGGTGTACAGTATATATATATATATATATATATATATATATATATATATATATATATAT